TGGGCACCGCTTGTCTGGGCACTGCTGACACGCGGTGGGGCGGAGACAGCCGATTCGGTGCCGTATTGGAGCGAGCTGCCCCGGTGGCCCGCCCTCATCTGGTGCACCGAAATGGCATCCTCTCGGTCCTCTCCGGGGAGAGGGAGCGGCGGCGTGCTCCCGAGGAGTGGCTTGAATAGTGATTCTGAGCAGTTGTCGCGCCACTGATGCGAGGCCGCACAATGAACCGCCCTGGTCAGCGATCGGGCGTTTGAGGGCAGGGCGGCCGCTAGTTTTGCCAGATCGTCCACGCTCTCATTCCCCTCGATACTGCAGTGGGCAGGAACCCACTGCTATTGCTTAACGACGCTTGGCGACGTTCAACAAGGTTTTCCATGCCTATCTCTACGCCGAAGGTTGAGGCCTCACCTGGGCGGCCGTTCCTCCGCTGAGTAGACTCAGGGCGGCTCGCCAGTTCGAGCACGCGACGACCGGGGCGGGGACGTCTCGTCCCGCAACCTCTCCAGAGCTGCCCACGGGGCGAATCTGCTGCTAGATTGACCAGCGTACCGCATAAATTCGGTGACTGTTTTCGCCAAAAAATTATGCGACCGCCCTGCACCGAAAAATTCGTCCGCCGCCATGCGCTGAATTCGGCGCATGCGAAGTTACGCCGGACGTGCGCTTAAATTTTCGGCGCAATCCCGCCACTACGCCGGACATATTCGGCTTAACGTGTATTTTTTTCCAGTCTGGACCCCATGTTGCATATTCATATGAACTGTAGATCAGACATTTTTTGAACAAATACCCATCTTTCATCCTTTCAGCATGCCTACAACCTACTAAACAGCCTTGGTATTAACCTACCATTCATACTTTATCTACACATACATATTGATATATGGGGTATGTTTGGTTCAGTAGGTTATAGTAGGTCAGGTGCCTACATGCTATCATTTGTCATGCTTTGATTTCAGGTGGTGTCTTGTGGGCTTTATAGTGGGCTTTGTGGCTCTCTCTAAGTGCAAGGGTTAAGTGTTGATGCACATAATGCAATGTGTTTTTTTCCATGGGCGCAGGAACCTCACGTAAAGTGTGGGGGGGAGGGGGGCAGAGAACTTCAATGTCACTTTGTGGGAACCCCAATACCCCTATGAACAAATTCTTTGCAGTTTCGTGCTTATCTCACCTTGCCGAACAATTTCTTGCTGTTAGTTTTGAATTTAAATGAAAAATAAATATTTTATTTTTAGCATAACTGAAAAGTGGGGACATCCCCTTCCCGATCCTAGGCCGCCTATGTTTTCTTTTTCTTAATGGTACAAATCATCCAGATTCATATGAGAAGGGTAGGTAGCTACCTACAAAATCAAATCAATGCCTCAATTGTTTATTGTTTTATTACAATAAGTCCCTCCTCTGCCAATCACACTAAACTATCTACTGTCACAATGCAGTGTGCGTCATGATTTCTCAACTCTATGCATACAATATATTTCCATTTGTCAATCACATATTGTTTTTTTTTTACAGGCTTTCCGGTTATGACTGAGGCCAGCATCTCACGTGCCCTGGCTACGCCAAATCACTGCGGATGCCGGATGCCGAGGACCGGAGAGCCAACCGCTTTGAGGCGTGAGCTCTGTGGCGTGGCTCGAGTGATCACCAGGTTCTGACGGCTACGGCGCCGTCGACCTGGTTGAATAGCTGGGGCCTGAACGAGGGTGCCCTTAGTACGGTGGTCAATCGGTTACGTCCGAGGGACGCTCGAACACGCTGCCGTCGCGTGGCTGCCGGCGGCCGCCCCCTCGCACGTGAATCTCCTGGAGCGAGGACTGCGGGAGGCGGCCGCATCATCACCTGTGTCCGCGCTCAACACCGTGCCACGCACTAATGGCGGAAGCCCGACTTTCTCCGATGGAGGAGAGAAGCTGGACGCTGGCTGCCAGGCTGCTGGGGAGGGCGCTGGGTCTGCCATCAGGGGACCCCCTGCGCGCGACCGCCGAGGCCTCGGCACCGGCGCGCCTGCCTTCGGCCCGAGGCTGGAGATTGCGAGGCCGCCAGGCCTGGGCGAGAGCGAGAATCCCACCGTGGCAACAGACGGCTGGCGTCACCTTCCGGTTGGACGTGTGCCCGATCCGGGCTGGGGCCACGGCGGCGGAAAGGGAAAGCGTGGCTACGCTGCACCTCGCGTTCCTGCCCCTGTGTGCTGTCCGGCTTTGGACGGACGGATCTGTGGAGGGCGGAGTCTTCAGGCGCTGGGCGGGAGCCGTGCTGGTCTGGCTGGACGAAGAGGTCGAGGAACTGCGGGCCCCGGCCGGAGAGTTGTGCTATAGCTACCGCGCGGAGATGGTGGCGCTGGTGACCGGTCCGGAGACCGTACTCGGAAGAGACAGAGACCAGGACCTGCGGTCCGTACCTATCTGCTAACTGTGCGGTAGTGCTGGTGTAGTGCAACATTTTTGGATGGCTAGCTACATTTCACGATTAAATAGCTGGTACGTTTCAGTGCAGGTGGCGTGACGAACAATGTATCTGTTGGCCACTTCTGCGGCCGCTGCCATTTCCTACTCGAAGGCGGGCGTGCTGTTTGGCTGGGCCGGCAGGATGTTCCCATTATGTGTCGACGACAAAGCGAGTATATTCATGTTCTTTTAATGCACAGAAGTCTGTTGTATATTTGAAGTTTTATTTTAGGTTAACGATTGCGAAGGGCAGATTCATCTTCTCTCTTTCATTTGTGTTGCCACTTAAGCGTTCATGTTTGTCATAAGTGTCCTGGTCCGGCTTGGTTGTCATCTTTATTCGTGATGTATTTTATTTTACGAACATGCTGGTGATCAATGCAATACACTTTTGATTAATAATGCTGCTTTAGCTCTGATCCTTTGTGGTATGTCTTGATTGTACTACTGCGATAGTGATTTTTCCTCACCAAAATATGCAGGCAACAAATGTAAATGCTGCCAAAAGTTTGTCATTGCGTGATGTATCTAAAAGACATCAAGTTTCTGAACGTGGTCGTGTACTACGCAACCGGAAACTCAATAGGACGTGGAATGCTGTGAAGCAAAACTACAGAAGTGAGGCTGGCCACGCCAAAATCAAGTGAGATATGTCTAGCATTTCTTCAGCCGCCAAGGCTTCGACAGACTATCCGCGGGTTCGGTGTCTCTCGAACTACGAAGATTCAACGTCGTCCGGCCAATCCTGGTTAAGGTCAGCGGGGACTTAGCTGTGGTTATGGAACAGGATTGGCTGTCCGAGAGACTCCGAACCTGGGGTATGTTGCAGCACAGCTATGTCGACCGAGTGTCTTCGCAAGCTGCCCCACTCGACGAGAAAAAGTAAAACCGTCCCGTCCTAGGCTGACTAGGCTTAGCTAGGTGGCAGCACAGTCGCGCCGGCAGGGGGCAGTGCCACAACCAGCCGACTGATATTTTCGTGTGACGTCAGAACCGGTGCCTCCCTGGTCGGCGGGTCGCCGTGTCCGTGCTTGGTCTTCGGTCGCTGGAAGCACAATACACCGTGTCGTGGTATATGCAGCTTTACTTGGCCCTAACACATGCATTACCAGCATGAGCGCATTACGACTCCTTTGTTACGCTGGTAACCGAAGCAAGCTTTACACTTCCCTACAAAGAACTTCTTTACTAAATATATCCTGCTTTCGGCTTTCCACAGTCTACGACCGAACAGGAAACATCGGTTATGTCAAGTAAGCGCTAATTTCCGACAGAAAGTAAGGATCATTCGTGCACCGCTACCGCTTGGCTCGGTGAGAACACAACGATTGACCTTCATGAGTGAAGCGGCGCAAAATAATGACACCCGTATAACATTGGTAATAACATACTATCATTCCGCAGCGCCCATCGATACAGTAACCATATGACAGAGACTCCACCATTTCACACGTCCTTTGATAATGACAGTACACCACCCCTGTCACAGTGACAACCAATGACAGTCGTGTCGTATGACAGTGACACCACCGTCACGCCACGTCCCCACGGCCCGTGACGTCACGACGGACCGCCGTGGGAAGAGACCACACTCGTGAGTCGTGAGGTGCCGCCAGAAAAGGGCGAGTGAGGCTTGTTGGTGAGAATACGTGGAACCGTTAACTGTGGTGCACGATTGAGGATTGATCCGTGCCAAATAATGGTTTCACTAATGTCAGTGTTTGAGATCATGTTGTGAAATCAGTCCGTGAGGTTATATGGTGAGGTCAGACCTTACGGGCAGTTCATGAGGTCAGAACATAAAGTCAGGCTTTCCGACTAGTCTGTGAGGTCGTGAAGTCAGCACGCGTCGTCCGACCGTAGGGTGACTCAGTGAGACCAGTTGGTGAGGTCTGCCCTAACCAGCCCTCGAGGTCAGACGTAGGCTCACGCCACCCGATTGCTGAGGGTCACTGAGGTCAGGCCATCCTCGCCTTCCATCAGCCTTCACTCGGTACACGGTTGCTAACATCAGCCTCCGCCCTGGCCTGTCGACAGCCCGTCAGGCCGTTCGTCCAACATGGACCGCCGGCGGGCACCCCGCCGCTCGGGCCTCATCTGCACGGGCTCGTTACACGGCAGCGCGAGCGGAGCCGGCGGCTGCAGCAGCGGTGCAAAGGGCGGGCGGCCTGCCGAGCGGGGCGCGGTGGTGCAGCGGCCTCCCCAGCCACCCCGGGGAGGGCGGCGGGTCACCCCGTCACCGCCGGCACTTGTCGCCGCTCCGTCACCGGCGATAAAAACACCCCGGTCCGCCCCGCGCCGGGTCCCCATCCAGCGCCGGCCGGCGCCGGCGGCGGGTCTCACACCATACAACGGGTCAAGGATGCACCAGTGTGAACACTGGACAGTGGGCAACCCAAAAATAGGACAGGTTTAGTCCAGCGATCAAACGGCAGAATGCGACGCCGACGCGCGTACGTAGTGGCGTTGAATACAGAGGCGCCCTACAAAGCCGCCACACGGTTGGCACCGGCCGGCCGGCGAATGAGCCAGAGACAGAGAGAGATCACTGACCTGATGCAGTTGCTGCTGCGTTTGCAGGATCTCCGTAAACAGGTCAAGCCGATCCCCGAACACGCTGAAACCGGAGTCCGGGTCGGCAGCCGACCGACGCGCCGTCGGCTCGCTCACGCACGCGCTCGACGCCGAGCTCACGCCACTCGAATCGTCGTCGCCGAGACGCATCGTCGCTCCGTCGTTTCGCACGCCGCCCCTCGTGCCGCGGACCGTCCGTCACTGCCGGCGCCGCCGCGGCCCGCGACAGCCAAGGCCGGCTCGACGGCTGCCGACGGTGGCGCCACTGTCGGGTAGACGGAGAACTACGGCTGAAATCATCTCACGCGGCCTCGTCGCCGGTCTCGTTTCGGGTAATTGTTGGCGGCGTGGCCCTGAACGGTAGTATGGCAGCCGTAACAGAACCCGTTGTGCCGCTAGCCGTCCCGGTGGCGCACCTAATTCCACCCCACCCATCGTTTGTCGAGGTGCTGCCTCAGGCCTCAGTCCTTGCTGACCAGTGCTATTTCGCCTCTTCAGGAGAATGCGTACAGTGCAGCCACTAGATATGTACAGGTCTCGCGGGTTTTAGCGGTAGGTTTTGCACCTAGAAAATTTAGTGTACTTCAGGCTATATCTTCGTCGTCTTAAGCTTTTAAGTGTTGAAGATGCGATCGACTTGTTGGGTAACAAGCCGGCCATGATCGTGTAAAATGGCTTCATCGTAGATCGATTAGTTTCTGAGATATAACCGGAAATGTAAAAGTGCAAAACCTACCGCTTAATCTCGCGAGACCTGTACTTAGCTATTAAGCATACAGTGCTGAGTGCATAGTGCATACTACTGCAGGTCACGCTTGCCCTTGGTGTTCCTTGTTCGATATCATTACAACTCTACCGTGTTTTGGGCATCTCCTCCGCGAGGAATAGACGTTAGACAACGCAGACATGCTCAATTTGAACGGGATTTTGGAAACGGGCCCTTATAAATCATGATTTAAGTCCATTGGGGATTACGACCCGATTGCTCGGACGATCTCGTTGCTGAGAGCTTGAGGTGGAGCCCACGGCCACCTCTGTCCTCATTCTTTCCTCCTCCTCCTCCTCCTCCTGGGCTCCTCCTCCTCCTCCTCCTCCTCCTCCTCCTCCTCCTCCTCATCCTCCTCCTCCTCCTCCTCTCCAGTTGTGTTGTTCCCATTCGGATCGTTGGTGTAGAGTCAGGTAACTAAGCCTAATTGTTTATATTTATTTATATGTTAGTCAGGATTGATGCTAATTGCTGGCATGAAAAATCGATGAATTGTTGATAATTACCATAAAGTGGAAAAGAGACGGACGCGCGACTTATTTTGAGGACTGCTTAGTGACTGAGACTGAGACTTCACTTGTTCTGGATTGAAGTCTCGTCTCCTCTAATGAGCAATTCTCCGACAGTGTTTAACTCATTTAAATTCGCATTTACAAAGGCACGTAGCATGTAAAGATATTGCTTTCAGTAATAAGATATCTGTATATTTTGATGCTCGGCATCTCCCGTCGGTTACCGCATGCATGGATCCCAAACATTTGGAACGTTTCTCTCTGCGGGCACAGCGGACTTGTGTGCCATATAATCCACGCAGAATAGTCGAGGCCCAGCCTTTTCAAAAGGCACATATGACATAGTTACCTTAGGTAGGTAACTTACATACATGCATAGCTCTGTAACCTAGCCACGGTAAAGGTCGCCAGATCTCGGCGCATTCGCGCTAATGCACGTAAGCGGGCAGTGTCACAGCAGATTCATGTCTCAACCGTCCGACACCAATAAAAACAGGCGATGTTAATCCAGCGGACTGTTGTCATCCATCGGTAAATAAGGAGTAACGCACGCAGTGCATAAGTGCATTTGTCTGTATAATAAAAAGTGATGTTCCTCGGCCCAATCAAAAAAACAAAAAATCAACTGCACTGCATGGTACATTGGCACAACTATCGCCACGATCCCAAAGCGCGGCACATCTGTGTACGCAAATAGCACCACGCTGGCGGTAGGAAGTTCGCCGCTGTCGGTCAAGAGTCAAGACTCAAGATGGGTATAAAATAGTCAAGCTATTTTGATATAGCAGCAACGGAACGATTAGCAACTTTAGTCAGGATTAAAATGATGATCTTGAAGTTTAGGTACTTAACCCGGCAGTTGCTGGGGTATTTCGCCACCCACCGTTTGCTGGGGGGGGGGGGGGGGGGGCGTTAAACGCCCCCAGCCGATAACTCGAGAACCAATAGGCGCAGCGAAACGCACGAGGCGGCAAACGAAAGAACGCGACGAGACACTTCAGATGAGTACTTAAAAGTTGAATTTTGAGGTCACAGGTCGGGTCAAGGTCAGGTCAAACACCTGAAATCGGGCTTTCAGTAGCATGGACTTCAGGACTTCGCAATGGGCGCCTCTCGTCATAAACTCTGTCAAAACGGTGCACAATCCATCATATAAGGCCTACAAGAGTGTCAGCTCCATGTAGGGGTCAGTCAAGCATAGGTCAGGGTCAAGGTCAGGTCAACCGGGTAGGCACATATCCCCGAAAATCAAAACTGATATTCGCAGCCTGTGACACATGTTTTATAGGTAAGTTGGGGCGTAGAACACGATGGTGACATTCATTTTATCATATGTGTACGTGTTTGGCTCAAAAAGTTCAATTTAAGAAATGCATGTATCATGGTCGTGAAGTAGTCACGAGAAATGGCCAAGATTCAGTTCAAGATTATGGAAAATGCGGAACGATAATCAATAATCGAAGATAGACATTTGATTGATCAAGGTATTGGCAGTCTAATGGCGTTTACGGCATGTCTGTATGTCTATTTTGTGATTTTATATGATTTTTTGAACATATGCCGTTTTTGGTCGAAAACTCAGAAATCATGACGTCATAAAACCTCGATATCTCAAAAATTTTCCGACCGATTTTTTTAAAACTTTGTCACAATAAACTCCAATCAATTCCCTACGGGTAACCAAAATTTGGCGCGCCTGCGGCGCGCCGTTTTTATGCTATGGCCCGGCGAAAAAAGTGGGGGCGTTTAACGCCCCCCCCCCCCAGCAACTCGCGGGTTAAAATACGAGTATCCGGTATACGTTCGAGTGTTGATATAAAATGTCATTCGCTTGGGTTATAAAATGTATGTTTGATGCTTAACCCGCGCCCTGCTGGGGGGTGTTTGAACACCCCCCTTGTGATTTTTCGCGAATATCTCAAAAACGGCGGCGCTTCGCGCCGCCGTTTTTGGTACACCTTATCATACATCAATTCTACACATGTTGTGAAAATTGCAGACCAAGGTCATTCAAGGTCAGGTCACCAGGTCACTTGAAGTGACCTCACCTCATAAAAAGTTTCAATGTCTGCCATAGCTACACCGAGTGACCGATCGCTTTGAAACTTTTAGCGATTGCTAAGAGCAATAGCGTGTACAAAATGTATATCTCAGAATTTTGATATCGATGACCTAAGGTCAGGTCAATTTTGCGACCTCCCCATTATAGGTAAGTCAATGGGAGAAAATTGAAATGCGCCTCTTTTGGACAAATGACATTATTAACATTCCAAACACTGAATTACAAGTTGTTTAGACTTACTGAACATGAAAATGGTGTCTGTGACCCCTGTTTATGCCCCTGAGGTCATCTTAGGTCACGAATGGTATCTAACAGTTTTTCGCAAATAACTTTTGATAGAGGCATGCTAGAGCGATGAAAACGCCTTAGATGTGTTCAGCTTGACGATACGGATCGACTGATATGCAACATGACCCTTTCCGGTCAGGTCATGACCTTGACCTGAGGTCAAATTTTCAAGTTGACCTTTCAAGATCAAGTTATAGTTCATTCGATGCGTCTTGACGAGAGGAACACGATGCCGGTAAAAGTAAGCTCGTACAAGGCTTGGGTCAAAAGTTATTGCAGAAAAACTGTTAAAAAAATAGGCTATTTTTGCAGTTTTTGCCCCCTGCAGGCAAAACCGTTGACGTTAGGTCAAATCTGAAAGAATTATTCAGAAAGGACGTTAATAGGGCTATCGAATGCGCTTTTCCGCGGCGCTGTAGCTCTATTGGTTCCCGAGTTATGCGTTGGCTTCTTGGAAATTGTCGACATTCGACCTGGAAATCGGCAAAATTTTGCCTTCAATGACCTCTGGTGACCTGACCTTTGACCTGACCAAAAAAATGACAGAAGTGATTTCGTCATTATTTTTGGCTCTCTTTCGAACGCCGCCTTCCACGTATCGCTACGTGGCCCAGGAGCCGAGTTAGAAGGGGGGTGTTCACTGTTCAGACACCCCCCCCCCCCCAGCAGGGCGTGGAAATCCATGACCCCCAGCCGGGCGCGGGTTAATTGGTGCTGAACGAAAAAACTAGCGAGCAGTGCGCTGAACAGACTGATAAACTTCTTTACTTCTCGAAATATAATGCAACCGATGCATTGCCCACATGACACTGCAATCTGGAGAGGCGGCAGGGTCCGACGCTCGTCTACAAGAAGAAGTAGTAGGATGTGAAGTCGGCTCCCCGTCGACCCACAAACTCTGGCTCGTAGTTGAAGATCAGATAGTCCTCCTCCAGCTCCGGCGACGGAAAACGGTGCCGACTTTTTCTCACTGGGGAAAAGTAAAGAGAAGTTCCAGGTCAATCGACGAACAAAAATCATCAGTGCTCTATATTACGACGATTAATCTAACGTTAGTGACTATATACATATATCTATATCCACATATAATCTTCTCACCTTCCCCTATAAATGCGTTTCCGATGTGCTGAGCGGCGAGGATGGCTTCGGCCGTGTGCGGGATGCTGCTGGAGGACGACTCGCGCGACCACTCGAACTGCGGCTTCTCCGGCTGGAACGCCACGCCAAACACCGGCTTACTGCGGACAAACAAAGGTGTGCAAGCACATCAGTTTAACTCATCTAAGTTTACTTCTACTAAGTGGTCTTTAGAGGTGCTCTTAGCACCGCTGCTTTCAAGTTATCTCTTTTAAGTCCCCGCCTATTGCGTACAAATTTGGCATGTGAACGGAAAGAAGCATGATTTTAATTTTTCACCACCTTTATTAAATTGGACCTCAATTGAATGCAGGTTCGGGATCGTCCGGGACCGTCTCTCCCTCCCTCCCTCTCTCTCTCCCCCCTCTCTCTCTCTTTCTCTCTCTCTCTCTCTCTCTCTCTCTCTCTCTCTCTCTCTCTCTCTCTCTCTCCTTCGCTCACCGTTCGTGCTCGATGACGCTGACGAAGGGCGCTCCGGCGCTGTCACGACTGGTGGCCACCAGATCAAACTCCCTCCCCAGCTGGCCGGCCCGGAACGCTCCCGGGCGGAGACAGCGTCCGTGGAAGGTGACCGTGGCCGGCTGGGAGCTGAGGATGGCCCGCACCTGGTCCTCCGAGCCGCCCAGCAGACGACTCCGGCGGCCGGCTGCGGCAGGTAGTGTGACATCAGCGCGGCGGTCGGGATCGGGGGAGAGTGAGTCGTATAGAACTGGAGCGAACTCTGCACTCGGAAAAGGGGGCAAAGCTACGACGTGACGCTCCATTTTATAAATGATCGCATGCATTTGTAAGTCGTCTCTGCAAGCACTCACCCAGACTCCAGTGCCTCAATGGACCCAAAGAGCAGCGCTGCCGACGCCTTACCTGGCGTTATGTCCAGCCGAGAGGCCACATTTGTAGCTGGACACTCCCGGAAGGAAGCGCTCGGGTCCGCCAGGCGGGCCAGCAGCTCCATCCCCTGGCCGATTCCCAGGATCGGGAAGTGGTCCTGTGGAGGACGAGCAAGTGATACCAGAAAAATAGCGTATTGTTTCCTCCAGTAGACACATAAGTTATAAAGTTTTAAATGCTGAATCTCCTTGCTTTCTTGCAAGGCCATGTTTCCGTTACTGAAGGATATTGTTCCGGCTCGCTCACTCTCTTTCCATCATATTGAAATCTGTGACGGCTATTTCGCATTTCGACATTTCTACAGGTCATTTTGCTATTGCGTGCCGTTCTTACGTCCGAGTATTCGTTGGTGATCTTCCAGAGGGCCTTGGCGGCGGCGGCGAACCCGCTGTCCTCCAGGTTGGAGGCGCCGCCCGGTATGAGGAGGCCGTTCAGGTAGCGGAACATCTCGCGGTAGTAGTGGTTCGACTGGTCCGCCCTGTCGGCGGTCCAACGGATCATCAGATAAGGTCCTCACTTATGGACGGGCACCATAAACAGTACGAATTGTTCGTGGACTGCTTACCCAAGCACACAATGTTGGGAGTGTAATAAAATGCTGAAAAGTCGTCAATGAATTATTTGCTTCTACTGCTTAGCTTTAACCCTCAAATCGTTTAATTCTAATACTTAACCTAAATTCTCCGTCTGCACTCTGGCCTTGCGCCGACTAAACCGATGGGTCAGTTCACCGGCTGAAGCGGTTCATATGGACATTTGGCGTTTACTTACATGACGGGTACCACGCGGGCGCCGGAGCTCTCCAGGAACTTCACATAGGACGAGTCGATGTAGCTACTGAGGTCAGGGTCGTCCACCAGCGAGTTCAGCTTCCTGGACAGCGACTGAGTCAGCAGACCTGCCGACAGCAGAGAGAGCAGCGCGGTTTGGTAAGCAGGACTGTCATGGCATCATCTTGAGCCCGCCACGCTACGGCAGCTTACTTAGGAATGACAATCGAAAGGAAAGCCACAGCACTCATCAGTCTTTTTTCTAAGCTGGTGTTTACGTCAACGTTTATCTCGTTCATAATCAGGCACGAATTATGCGTTACCGAGCAATTAAACAGTCAACAAAATTCTATGCGGAAAGGCAGCAAACAACCTTTCATTTTATGTACACACTAGATTGCACCCATCGTTACCGATGCCGTCTTTTCAGAAGCATTCTTCGACATTTTTTTATGTCTAAACCCATAGGCGTCGCTAGAGATTTTCGGTTGGGGGGGGGGGGCAAAATCAACTTTTGTGTTAAATCTTGCCTTTCTCCAGTTGTTACTCATTCATTTTACATATCATTCCACGCGTAATGGTGTGAGGAATACGATGGTGACAAGGTTTTCCTTCTAGCTATGACATGTCATTTTTTACAGAAAATTCAAAATTTTGAAATTTTTGGACAAAAACACGACCGGTAGAATCACAATAGCTGCGATTGCCGACGCACTCTAGAGAGCCCCCGTTCAGACGCTCGTCGCTCATGATCATCACCCAGGAAAAAGGTTAAAAACGCTCAGTAATCGAACCACCTTGCTGAAACCTTCATTCACGCATGCATGCAGTCGCAGAGGTTCTACGTGAAATGCATAGGGCTCATCCCAGCCGCCGATAGCTAAGTTGGGCTTCCGGCGGAGATTGAATGTCGGAAGTGTGGATCGGAAGTACTTACCTAATTCATCTTTGCTTCAGTGAGAGGAGGTATTTTGTTCACACGGGAGTGTGAACAAAAAGTTTCTCGTTTTTCGTGTGTAGGGCAGCGCTGCAAATGCGAAGAAAAGATAACGGAACCAAAATTTCGCACGGCATAGCGGCAAGGGATCCCTTAGCGACAGGCTTGGGACTTCCAGGCCATTTTAGGCCACTCAGGGTCAGTGTGGGCTCTCAGAAGCCTGCTTAGGATCCTGAAGATCGGCGTTGGTCATCCCAAACCTATGTGGTGCTTTAGGGCTTTCCGAGCCCAAGGTGGGACCCCCAGAAGCCAGGGTGGGCGGCGGGCGCTAAGAGACCAGGCCCAGGGTGAGCCGGGAGCCCTCAGATAGCAGTGTGAACCCTGGAGGTCTGTGTCGAATCCCTAAGGACTCTACATGGGACATAAGAAACATGTGCTGGGACCCTCAGAGGCACACGTGAGTTGTGCAAAATATGTCGCCTCAAAAGCTCGGCTGAGCTATCAGAGGCCTAAGGTTCTCAGAAATTGTCGAAAGTATTCTCAAAGATCCGTGTGGCCCTTCAGAGGTCTACGCATGTGTAAGGTCCTCAAAGATCCCTGTATGGGCCGGGGCCCTCAGGGAATATGGACACCAGTGGGACTCTCAGAGGCCGGTTTGGGCCCTCTGAAGGCTTCTTAGAGCTCAGTGGAGCTTCTTCGGAGCCTGTTGAACAGTGAAAAGCAAGCTCATGAGCCCTGTGGCACTTGAACGGTACTTGAGTCTGTCGCAGACATTTGACGAGAGTTAAGATTTAAGGCCGCCGTCCACTGTGACGGAATTCCGTCCGGAGTCCGTCAGGAATGTCGCCGCACGCTGACCGCATCCGGACCGCAGACGGAAAGCTCACGGACACTTGCTGACACTTTGTGAAGAGCAATTACCAGTTATTATAAAAGAAAACATAGCAATTTACTAGCATATCATAGTGCTGCCATGTCAAGGAAAATTTGTTTACTTATTTCATCTTGAAAGAGTTGAAATTATTTCTTAAATTTGCAATTGAAAACTCGAAGACGGAAGACTGCACCTGACCGCGTCCGTTCCGCCTGCGTTCTCCGCAGAAAAGTTCAACATGTTGGACTTTGTTACAGCTGATTGCCGTTCGGATGCGGTCCGCACGGAACGCACACGATTTCCGTACGGACCGGATGCGCCCATAGGGTTCTGTGTTAAATTCCGTACGGACCGCACGCGTTCCGCACAGTGGACGGCGGCCTTTAGTGTCACACTTTGAACGGAAATTTTGTGTCAGCACTTCAAAGCTTATGAAAATCGGCTATAAAATGTAATAAAGAACCAACTAGGAACATGGAATGAATCACAGTATTGACATTCCCGAGTCTGGAATCGGCGTCGTGAAGATTTTGGCGACTGCGACTCCGACTCTGGCCTGAACTGCACCCTTCAACCGAGTCTGACCTCATAGGCATTCTCAGAAAGGTACCCCCATTTTTTCCCGACTCCAAAATCTCATCGGATCTGTATCGATCTCAGGGGGTGCCCGGTCCGAGGTTGGGGGGCAAGCTGCCCCGCTTGCCCCCCCGTGGCGACGCTAATGTCTAAACCCATTCAATACTCACCGACGACGGGTCTCTGGTTGACGGCGCCCGCAGGAGCGATGTGGAAGTTGGGCTTCGCCGTCGTCGTAGGCGGCGGGGTGGTTGCTGTCGTGGTGGGGGTGGTGGTAGTGGTAGTGGTGGTGGTAGTCGTCGTTGTTGGAACGGTGGTAGAGACAGGGGCGGCGTATCTTGGTCCCGTTGTGCTCGTCTCAGGGGCCTGTGGGAAGAATCACGTGTACTCAGATATAACTACAACTACATAATTCAATCTGTTGCGATAGATGTCTCTTTTTTATGAATTGCCGTTGAAATCAAGTTGCTAAATATTTTGGAAGATGAGCCTATCCCATACATTTCCATCTAAACTCTCGATAAAATACGATACCTAGTTCAATATAAATATGTTAACAGCGACCGTTCGAAGTCGATGTGCCGGCGAGGCTATCCATACAAATTTCGCGCCCGGCAGTCCTACCGGCGTGGTGGGCCGTCGGCGGCGCTGCCCCTTCCTGCCGCGCCGCCTGCCGCCGCGCCGCCGGCCTCCCTTGCGCCGGCGACCCTTGCGCCGTCTCTCGGGCGGGGGTTCCTCCTGGGGGCTGCGACTGGCGCGTGCTGCGGTATCGGCCAGCGACCGCCAGTCGGCCCCGGCCAGGAGCTGTGTCAGCCGGCTCTGCTCGCCGTCCCTGCCGGCACCGCCGTCCGCTGGTCACGTGTATGTTTGAGCGTTTATTAACCAGTGCCCGCCAAACTATTGTGGCATAGCCATATTCTATCGTTGTTAGATACGATCTCTTTTTTACGACTTACAGCGAACAAGCAAAACAACTCAGAACAACGCAGCATGCTGATGGTCTCACGAGTCATTCAGAGACCTCGAGGTCCGAGGTCCTCCCCTGGTCTACCTGAGAGTGTCGGGCAGTGTGAAGTCGTCGACCTCCCTCAGAGCCGACGTCAGCAGTTCGCTGGTGACGTCAGCGGACACTCTGACGTCACTTGTGGCAGTGAACAGGGCCGCGGCCAGGAACAGAAGCCGCGTGGCTGCGGGCGGCCGGACCTGCAGAGTAACGGCACGGGTCCGTGTTTATACTATGGTCATTAGACGCACACCCGAGCAGTGTGTATAACCGCATAGGAACCGGGGCTGGCTGTGGCAGTCGTCATCAGGCGTGTGATTTGATACCGGAGGTCCGGGCTGGTCCGGATTTCTGCCTCATCAAAACAGCATTACACATGCATATTGCATGCACATTGCACACCGCATAGGTATACATAATCACGCTAATGTAAACACTAATAAGGTATACTACAGAGACTGACCGCAGACTTTCGGTCCAAAAATAGACGCACTCCTTTATCTTCATACGGAGAATGTAGTAGAGAGACCGTGACATCCCCGTCACCCCCGTCCAACCCGCCTGCAGGGTCACTAGTGGTTACTAGTGATGGAAAATCGGAATACCGATACCAAACCAAATACCAACCAAAACCGTGGAGAAATACCGAAACCAAACCAACTTGGGAACATGAGGAAAATACCAACTTTTTACCGATTTCTTAGCCTCTTAAACATTGGCGAGGGTTCATGATACCAACAAAATACCAAACACATTAGGATTGAAATAGCGAATACCGAGTTGGTATCGGTTTGGTATCGGTATACCAAAAAGTTGGTATCCGATTGACATCTCTAGTGGTTACCGCAACGTAGCTCTAATGATGACGTAACCTACGGCTGGGACAAACTGCATCAATTGGTTGTAACGCCCTATCGACATAGCTTTAAACTAGAAAAGCTATAGAATCTGGGGAATATTTATCTACAAAATAAGAGCAGCTATTATGTTTATACAAATTCACAGTCTGCGAGGAATTTGTGGATAGGTACTCAAAACGATATCATACCTAGCTTCTACTCGCTTCAACGTTTATTTATTAACGAATCGTTTGAACGAACGAAAGTCTGTTACAAATAACGGACGTCCACGCCACATGATTCGTACGTACGGAAAATTTTAGAAGGATCAATGTGTTGAAATAAAATTCAGCGGTCGAGTAGATCGGGGGTCAATAGATTAAAGGTCCCAATCCGTAATACCCTTATCGTGTTATTCGGCACTTAGTGTCCAAATATATACGTATTTATTTAAGCATTTATGTCCAATGTCCATGAATTTATAGAAGCTTCACATCACATATACGTACCCGATAAATGAAGGATGCATTGAATGGTTGAGTAAATTATTTAGACGTAGGTTTTCACCATTTTTTAGGACTCCTTGTCCAACCTTTACTGTTGTCATTGTGTGACGAACGCTTTACGCGTACGCAAACGCGACTATATTACTCAATAAACGTTACAAATTATTAGCGTTGATTATCCCTGACGCTTTGATGAATGCTAACCGTTAACAGTGAACCGTTAACGATTTACTTTATTTAGGTACGTTAACGACCCATCAGCATGACCCTAGGCGCCAAGCACAGCTAATTAAAATCCATGCATTGATACGCTCGTCAGTAGGGGAGAGCGGGGCCAGTTGAAACACGGGGTCAGATGAAACATGCCTTTACTTTTAACAGTATGCAACAGATAGCGTTGCCGACACCACTGCGCATGCGCGCTCGACCACTTCGTTTGTCAACGGCGTTTGGGCGGCGAACGGACGGTAATTTTGATTTGGCACTTGTTTTTGTGTTTTTGAGGGGCGTTTGGGAGAAGTCGTTTTTGTGAGCATTTTGTGATATCTCATATACCTTTGTTTGCTGAGAGAAAAACTCCTGGCTCCGGAATGTCACCTTATTTGGCATCTCATTCAGCATGATGCCGTCCCTCCAGCTCGTTTGACAAGTGCTTTACGGCGCGTGCGAGATAACGGGAGCGGATGGGGTCAATTGAAACGCTTCTCTGCGGTTCAGTTGAAGCAGGGCCACCGGCCGATTCAACCGACCCCAGTGACCTTTGTAGGGGAGAGTGGGGCAAAGCGGCCACCCGGGGCAAAGCGGCCACCCATCGTTTTAGCCCTTCATAGCTGGCGTCAGTTCCAATTCATGGTTTCCAATTATACTTCTCTGCACGGTCGTTCGAATGAGCCAGACCGGGGTTTCAGGCCCATCACCATTGTTCTGTGAAATACGGAAAAGCATTTCTTGCCAGGTTACCAACTATGTTTACAATTTTTAAATGTTATGTTATTCCATAACCGTTTGGAATTTTTATAAGCGTTCTTGTCCATGCATTGCATGGGTATTGTACATGTATTCTACCAATTTTAATGTTTTTTACCCCACTAATAGCTAAGCTGGAATATTTTTGTCTCGGACGGTATGCGCGGGGCAAAGTGGCCGGGGCAAAGTGGCCACCCCCCAATTGGGCATAAGTTGCTTCCATCTGGATAAAAAACATTATTTATATTCAAATGTGTCGTCATGCATTCATCTTTGCCACTTTTCAGTTGCATGAGTTACCAAATAATGCAATTAAATGTTTATTTTCATGAAAATCCTTTCTTTGTTTACCTACAGGTGGAAGATGATAAAGTAAACATCCATCCTCGCTTAACCTTGTCACCATCAAATACCCTAGTCGTACACGAGGCAACTATTTTGTTTCTCATATCGGGACTTGAGAAGACGCCGGTGGCCGCTTTGCCCCAGGGTATGGGGCAAAGTGGCCAATATGCATAGGTTTAAAGTTTTGTCAATATCTTTCATATGTGAACGCCTTTGGAAATAAAACGCAGTTGAAATTAAAGGCAACTTAATAGGGATCACATTGGTATAGAAAGAATCTTTCCAAGTTTAAAAATCAAGCGTTGGCATCGTGAGAAGTGTTAGGGTGGCCGCTTTGCCCCACTCTCCCCTAATGGTTATGTTCAGGGGCTGTAAACATTAAAGGAAATAGTCCACCTTTAAAATGAGGGTTTGAACTGAAATAGCAGTTTGATAGAGCTCAATTTTTGACCCTTTCATCTCCAGCCTTTTGCTTGAAAGCACACTATAGCCTGAGATATTCTTCATTTTCCACATCCGCCCATTTTACCATAGTCTATTTACTTTATGTCACCTATTATGAGGAACTTAGCACTTTTAGTTGGAAATTTCCAACGACCTATTGAATGTAGCATTTGGAAAAGTAAACCGTACAAAATATCTCCTTAACCCTCGCCGGCACAGGCCATTTTGCGTCCTTCGACGGCACAAGGGGGGGGGGGGTTGGTAAGACCCCCCCCCCTCGCGTTTGGCCCCTGATCGAGCTAGAGCTTCGCGGAAAAACGAGCGTGTTGCTCGTCACGAGAGGAAGCCGATGATACCCAATTTTAAAGTCCTAGGTCATCGGGTGACCTTCCAGGTCAGGTCAATGACCCGAAAACCGGGAAAATCGGGACCTGTTAGAAAGTCGTAAAGTGTGGCTGCTATGTGGTTTTCCGAGGTGCTGATCACGAATATCGTGTTAGTTTTGATCAGAGATGATGTTTTTAAGCATTTAGACCAGGTCGGGTCAGGTCAGGTCAGGTCAACCGGTAGGGGTTGTGACGGGTATTCGTAATACGTGTCAACCGCCTCTGACAGCTTCGTAACATGTTACGAAGGCACCAAAACTACTTCGTAAATGTTCAAATGGTTGCTAAATTCGAATTCAGCTCCAAAAACTAGCCTAGAAACATGTAAAACTCGAAAAAGTGAACCGAGGTCACCCAAGGTCACCAAAGGTCAATGACCTGACCTGACCTTCAGGTGACCTTGACACCCACCCTTATGTATGGGAGCAACATCAAATCACATGTTTGAACGTTTGAAACCACGAAAAGCTTGCAAACGCGCGGCTAATGCGAGCCGACCTACGCCGAATCGCGATTTCGGCCAAACATGGTCACGGAAAAGAGGTCAGAGGTCAAAGGTCATTGGGGTCAGGGTCATGAAATTTTCAGGGAACGTGTAAAATTGATCAATGCGAGGGTACTGAAAGTTTCGTCGCGATCGGCCGCTTTTTACGCGAGTTATTCGCGAAAAACCTTAGGGGGGGTTGCATCACCCCCCCCCCCTCTGCCGGCGAGGGTTAAGAAAGTGGCCTTAAAGATGAAAACATCCCATTGTTACGGATAGGTGCCTTAATATTGATAATTGACCCCATGGCCTGGTTCAGTTGACCCTTGCATCAGGGTCATTTGAAACGGGCGTAGAGCTGTTTTATAAGCATGCGTTTGGCAGCAAAATATGTTTGAAACATACCTTCACATATCTTAAAATAAAGCCAAAAGAGTATATTTTATCATGGTATTGTGCATTTGTCGATTAGACAACTAGATCTCGCTGTGCATGTCAATATACAAAAAAGTGGTTCAACTGGCCCCGCTCTCCCCTAAGCGTTAACGGATGTGGAATGAAACAATTGACTAAAGCGTGCGCACCCATCGATACGCAATAAACGTTAACGACTTACTACCTTACATTCAATGACGAGGACCAGCCTAGGTACTTAGCTAGGTATACATAAACGGCCAAAGTGTACCATGGTGTAATAAATATTTAAATAACACTATGCGCTGTTATTTATTGCAAAGCTATTCATATTCAATGTCATTTATTGCACTATTGGCTTACGTTAACGGCTAATTAATGTGTACGCGACTTGTAGCTACTCAATAAATGTAAACGGTGAACATTTACCAGACTCTTGTCCTCAATAGGCATAGGTATATAGGTAGATATTGCTAATCCATTTGACCATCTTGCAGTAGGCATTGAACATCGAACAGCCAATGATTTTTCAAACCACCCAAAGCAACTGTACCTAGATTGTAGCGAAGTGCCGTGAAACGGCTACGAGTACAGTGGTTGTTGCGAAAGAACTAAGAACGTGTTATATAACGAATATTGTTCGTTATTTGCACTTGACGATATACCTACCCAAAGAAGCCGAAGGCCCAAGATGGGGCTCTGGTTACTCAGTGTCCCAAAATTATATTTTGGCTTGGGTGTCGGAGGGGGATATTCCTCACAGTAAAGCGGGCTGAGAGTGGAAGATTCGAGATTCATGAAAAAGGGTCAAAAACA